GTGTGTGTGTGAGTGTGTGTGTGTGATTGTGTGAGTGTGTGTGTGTGTGTGTGTGTGTGTGTGTGTGTGTGTTTGTGTGAGTGTGAGACAGTGTTTGTATGTGTTAGTAAGAGCTTTACGACACTTGCAACTCAAATAGGTCATACAAGAGCCGAAGATTAGAGGTATTACTAGAGATCAACATACATAAAAAAGGGAGGAGAGATAAAGACTGTTGATGTTTGACAGGAGGAAAGAAGGCGCAAACCATACCATAACATCCGCCAACCACCCACACGAAAAAGCAGTCAGCGTATCAGAGGCCACTTAAAGATAAACATTGCGGCGCCTACTCGCATGAGGGTGTGAACGTTCGCAGCGTGCATGTGTCTTTCTGCGTCTTAGACTGCACGAACTGAGTACATGTGTCCCCAGAATAGACACGACTAGACCATTGTGAGATCAGAATACTAAGCCCCGCAGTCAAGGTAGAGACGAAGGAAAAAGGAAACGACGATAGACTACGGTAAATATCACGCAAGAACACACTATAGAGCTGTGAGTTTGACTAAAGAGAAGCACGTCGACGCAATAAAGGTCATTCGATAAAGGAATAAGTTTAGTAAGACAGGTAGACAGGAAAAACAGAGTGAAAGCTCTCTCTCTCTCTCTCTCTCTCTCTCTCTCTCTCTCTCTCTCTCTCTCTCTCTCAAATTCACCACACTTCTGACATGACACACTCCATTTGTCTGTTTGTTTGTTTGAGTAAAGAGAAGCACATCAACACAACAATGGTCATTTAGTGCAGGGAAAAAGTCAGACAGACAGACAGAAACAACAGAGGGAGGGAAAGTAAAGAAGCAGGACCTACCACTGGTACCCTCCAACCACCTACATAACACGCTCTATCAAGAGGCTAGCCTTTGGGGAAAAAAAACCCCAACAAACAAACGGTGAAACATAATGATGCTTTTTGAAAACCAAATGAAAACAACAACAACAACAACAACAACTAGAACAACAACAAGACTTCACGAGTACCTTATTCTGCAGCGAGAGCATGGCCCCGTTCTCGCAGAAAATGCGCACAATGGGAACGTAGCCGTGCCAGGCAGCACAATGCATGGGCGTCTCTCCCAACTGTGTCAGAGAGCAGGTTAAAGTTGCTGGTTAGTCATGCAAAAAGGCACAAATTAATGGTTTACTGCACTCTCCAGCTTTGAGTGAGACAAGAAGTACGGTAAGTGGGCGTGTGTTGTATTGTTATTATGTATGAGTATGCGTAGGGCGTGTGTAGGTCAGTGCTGAAGGGATGGGCGTGAGGTTTGGGGGTGGAGGGAGGTTCGGGGCACAGAGCATAAGTTAGGAAGGAATGGAGGAGGGTGGGTATGGCGAGAGCTAGACAGATGAGATACACACACGAGGATGCAAAGAGAACTGGAGAAATGTATAAACTCTCTCTCTCTCTCTCTCTCTGTCATGTATAAGAACACCTATCTTTGTAAGGGGGGGGGGGGATAGACTTAATTCTTGTTTGTTTTTTAGAACACAAGGAAGGGCAAAGAGGCTGTAAATCGAAATCCACAAAAAGAAATTCAGAGAGTGGGAACAAAAATCGCGTAGATATAATAAATGAACAATACTATAAAAGATCAACACAACATTAAACAAAACTGACTGAAACTGAACAATAATAGCATACAGAAAAAAGAACAAGTACCATAGCAACATATCACGCAACTGAAAACTCAAAACATCAGGGCCGGTATCTCTTTGGAACAACACGTATATTATGAAGGCGGACAACACAGCTTTGCTGCAACTTTACTGCAGTGTATTCCTTAGCTCTTTGAAGAAGCGCTGTTTTGTGGGTACTTCAGAAATAGGTATAACTATCTTATTCATTAATCGTTCATACAGACTTTTGCAGTTCTGTTTTCTTTTTCTGAAACTTTTGATAAAGCAGACTACGGCATACATACACTGAAATATGATCATACATCTTTGTTTTCTGATGTGTGCATGACGGTAGGAAATGTACAGCAACATAACCTTTGGTCTGCTGTTGGTGACGGACATAAATATGTGGTCCCTGCATCTTGAATAAGTTAACAACCCCCACCCCCCTCTGTCTCTGTCTGTTTCTCTGTTTCTCTGTCTGTTTCTCTGTCTGTTTCTCTGTTTCTCTCTCTGTTTCTCTGTCTGTTTCTCTGTCTCTCTCTCTCTCTCTCTCTCTCTCTCTCTCTCTCTCTCTCCTTCCCTCCCTCTCTCTCTCCTTCCCTCCCTCTGTCTCTGTGTCTCCTTCCCTCCCTCTGTTTCTGTCTGTCTGTCTGTCTCTCGCCCCCTCCCCCAACACACTGCCGTGCAGAAAGCTGTCGTCCCAGGGGTTAATTTTGGGGACTCAATAGCTCAGTGCGTTGTTTAGAACAGCCTTCTGGGCGTATCTTTTTATATATATATAAAAAAAACCCAACCAGGTATAAGCACAATATTAACTTAAGGTCGATTTTTTTTTTTTAAAGGGGATGGGAATGTTGCCTACCCTATGCAAACTGCAATGCTGGCGCTTTGCCAACATGAATTTGACCGCACATAACATTCAAAGCACCCTAAGGTCCACATACATACATGTATCAGCATATTATTGTCCTTCCGCAAAAGCTCTCAGTGTGTGAGGCAAAAGCTGTACGTGCCGCCCGTACTCGTTTGTTCCCGTGAAAGGACACAGTGCCCACCGGAAGCAAATTATAAGCTAATATTTATTGTAAAAAAAGAAACAAACAACCCTCACCCCCGAAAAAAACCCAAAAAAAACAACCCAACTCAAAAACACAAACAAACAAAAACAACAAAACAAGAAAAAACAAAAACAATCAAAAATAAAACTCACAAAACAAATAAAAAAACGTATAGTTTGTGTAAACTAAACCACGGGCCTATCAGTGAAGAGGACTTAATTACACTTTCAGTTTCCTTCCAACAAGCTACAGAGCGAAAGAAGGACCCGGACAAGGTGGAATGAGGGAGTAAAGGACAACATCTTCAATGCCCGCAATTTCCGGCTCCTGGAGGGGGGGTTCCAGTCTGCCAAGACCTAACACCTCAACCCCCCCCCCCCCCCCCCCCCCCCCCATGACACCTCAGGGTTTTAGGGGCAGATAAGTTAAGTAGGTAAGTATAGAATCCAACGTTAATATTTCAGAAAGAAAAAGCTATTTGACACACGAGTAGACATGCCCTGATAAGTAATTACATAGGTATTTGGCATGCGACTCAAGGAGCACCTGCCAGCCCCGTCAGTGCCAAAATAAAGATAGGGGTTTGGGTGGGGTTGGAAGGAGGGGCGGGAGGGGGGGGGGAGGAGAGAAAAGTCAACAGGTGTCTGACGGGTAACGAGAATGTTATCACCCGCTCCAGGAAACGCTGACAGACAGATTACCTCCCACATCGGGTTATCACGGCGGGACATGACACGTCATCAAAGACATACCATACCGTAAGCAGAGTGGCATTACAGTTAACTCTTCAAACGACATGGTGGACACATTAATTCGTTATCTTAGAAGTACAAAGTTTTATCTGACATTTTTGGCCGTTTTGAGTAACAAAGACCATGAGGTCAAAAAACCAAAAATGCTCTGTCTGCTCTACCAATATCGTAAGATTATTTGGAGTCGTTATCAAGGCATTCAAAGAATTGCAAACGAAAATTCTTGACATCTCGTGAAACTCAAAATATTTTACGCAAAATTTCTCAAAACTCAAAACTTTGTCATTCTTAAAGTAGCGATTTGTCCGACTAGCATGTTACGGCACTTTTCAAATGATCATACACAAATGTGAGTCACGAATGAGCATATTTCATTGCACCCGCATGTTGTTGCCTGCCTTTTAAAGTTTCAAATAAAGAAAACTGAATTGAAATATCTGCATGAGTAAAGAGGTTAAGCTTCTTTTCTATAAATTTAAAGTGTCCCAAAACAGCGAATCGTTGTCGAATGAAAACACACACACACAGTGCATACTTCTTATAAGTATATACCTAATTGTCCACGGTTTTGCTCATGTTGCAAATCATGAGATACGGGGAAAATATAGAGAAGTAGATCAAATACTTTTGAGCATATTATACTTTTCCATTTAAAAAATACTTGTCTAAACATCAGAAGCATGTTAGTTGTACCGGTATTGCAGTGCAAGAAATGAGAGATGGGGGGGAGAATGGGGAATAACACACAGACAGACAGACAGACAGACAGACAGACAGATCAATCGATCGATTAATAGATCGATGGAGATATAGATAGGCAGATAGAGATAGATAGAGAGAGACAGCGAGAGAGAGGGGGAGAGAGAAAGGGGGAGAGAGAGAGAGGGAGAGAGAGAGAGAGAGAGAGAGAGAGAGAGAGAGAGAGAGAGAGAGAGAGAGAGAGAGAGAGAGAGAGA